ATGTGATAATTAATTCTTGTTAATTGTGACCAAATGATGTGTTCTCAATATGCAACAAAAGAAACTGTCCTTTATTAAATACGAAACCTCCTATGGCACCTCTAAGCAAAGAAAACATCACTTCAATTTGGTTTGTATCCAAATTGTATGTTTGTACTACTTCACACTCAAACGGTAATTAAGGTAATTAAATAAAAATATCTAGCCAATAATTGTATTGCCGCGTACAGTTTCAAACCGTCTAAATCAATCATATAACCGTATAAACCGATGAATTTTTCACTTTTGATACGGATGAAAGACAATGTAGCAAACTAAAACGTACAAATCATTATTCCAATGTTGGAATCCAGCCGAACTACCACATTTTTACATTAACGTTAGTGCTTAACATATGCGGAAAACAGACAAGTCAGCCAATTTACAAAATCACTATACAAAATAAAATGTGTTTTTACACCACGCTTTTATCGTACCAAATGACCGTAACGCTGATTTAAATGTGTGTTTTTTGCGATATTACATTACACGCACATTCGTAGGATCATTAAATTAAGGTATTTGCATTTGTTTGTTTGAAGCGCTAAAATTTTAAACCTTTTCAGTCACACGATCTGGATGTATTTTTGTGGCAGATACTTGAAACAGTTAAACCTTTGTACATCGGTCAACTTTCGGGAAATTAAAAATGTTTGTTATGACGGGGTGCAGATAATTTAGGGTACAAAGCGAAAGTAAAATTTGCTTTGAAGAATCGTGTATTGTGTATTTAAATTTATTCACTTTTACGTTTTATGTTACGTGGTCTTGTTTACACATTTAATAAAGTATTGCTTTATTTCTCAAAAAATGCAGAAGTATTATTAGTCTTTTATCTTGAAGTTTAGTTCGCCTGAAGTTCATAACTTTGATTAAAACTAGTTCTTATTCACTTCATTTATTTAAAAACATCATGTAATAAACGACTGCCTTTAATTAAATCGACTTTAAACCGAACTATTTAGCCATTGAGTAATAAATACCCTTAAAACCAAGAAACCATAATATAGTGACGCGAAGTTCTCCTCAGGAAGTAATAACGCCGCTAAAACTGGGATACCCACTTTTGTAAAGCTTTCTTGAGAAATAAATTCTACTTTCCTTTTCCTGTTCTCAGTGATAGGGAGTGGCTTAAAAATCGCCCTGTTTCCAAAATGAATTGCAACGTTCAAATTTATTTAGTTTTTCCTTACTGATGGTAAACCTTACGAAATGATCTAAACTCACGTCTAGAAAAAGGCAAAAGCAAGATGGAATAAGCCGTAAGTAAATTACATTTCTCTTCTATGACACTAATGGACTTATAGTTGTATATACTTTACGGAATATAGTATATTCCGTAAGCTGTCCAATTCCATTTGTTAGAAATTGTAGATATCGATGTTCTGTTAACGGCCTTTGAGTATAATTCAGTCTCGTCTATTCTAAGTTCAATTATTTCGTTCCCAAACATCTCAACCGAAAAATTAAATGATACACGACCCTGCGTGATCATCTTATATAAAATAGCATAATGCATTTTTTCCATATTACTTATGAATTACTAAATATTACTTATTAGAAATATAAATAAAAAAAATGAAAGGAATGATTAGTAATTTCGTTCAGTGCGTTTGTATGCTGACGACATACAAACATACATATGTCATGATCTATTTGAGGCATTTGCGAAATCAGAATAATAATTATTTTTTTTACTTTGCCATTTTATTTTGTATGATACATTAACATTTTCTAGCAACTCAAAAATGTCCCTAAAACTTGTAGATGGAATTTGTTGGTACATTTGATAATGAATTAGTATACACACGTAGGCTAACAATAGAAGAACAAGAAGTATTTTTCAATGCAATGAAAGTGAGTCGAGCTTTGGAACCTCCCTGAATTAACAATAAAACAAAATTTTTCAAAACGATAAAATATTTTTTAAAAGGTGACTTGGGGGTATTGCAGCAAATACTTGGGGGTATAGTACAAACAAATGTATCTCGCAAAACAAAACTCAATATTTAATAAATTTTCCCAGGTTTTGAACATTCGAGGTGAAATAACTGGGTCAAAAGGGGACAAAATGCAGTCCTTAGGAATAAATCCGGCAGAAATTCTATCAGAGAAGAAACCCGGTTTCTTGATCCGATTACCTATTTAATCGACCGGCGAAACATTCGACCTTAAATTTCAATTCAAGGTAAATTAGGTTTTTAGTCATAAACGTATATCTTAAATGGAAAATTTACCGGTTGAGTTAAAAAGAATTGGGAGGTGTATAGCCCTTAAAAGACATTGGATAGATGAATATTGAATTTATCTTCTTAGTGAGAGCACAGCTTGACTACATTTAAGATATGTTTTTCTTAACTTTAATCATCGTCACCATGTGCAATGTTTCTTTTGGCTTGCTTCACCATCAAAAACCCAGTTGCTTTTATTCGTGTAATCAACCAGCCTTCTTACCAATCCTTCTATTTCTAGTTTAGAGCAAAAATAGCAAAAGGTGCAAAGTAACTGGACTTATTTAGCTATTCTACAACCTTCAATTTAAGGTTTTATAATGCCAGGTCTTCACAGAATTGTGATTTTGACTGTTCAAAGTTCAAGCTGAATATTTTTCTTCAGAAAAGTTGCATATGTTGGTCGTTACAAATATTTTCCTTCGTTATTGAATAGGAACTACCACTGGATTGCAAAATTTGATGTGTGATCGATTAAAGTATCTCAGTGGCACTGCTTTATAATACATTTAAATATAATGTATAAATAGTGCAAAGCGCATATGTAAAGTTGATAAAAAATACAAAAATATTAAAGTGAAAATAGCTAAAGGACTCTATTTCCCTTCGGTATCACTAACCCAAAACAGTGGAGCATAATACTAATGACATTCTTTGGTTTTAACAGTAAAATGAACTGTTTTTTTGGCTTCGGGGTTCATTAAACGTAATTTGTATACGAACAGAGAAAAATTGCTCTATTTAAAGGAGTAAAGATTGTATTATGGAAGTGCTAAACGATATTTCAAACGTTTAAAGTCTGATGAAGATCAATTCGAATCCCCAGTTCATCACAAAAGAATGAAAATAAACCATTTTCACTTCAAATACATTTATAAAAATTGAATAACTTTTCAGGCTCCTAAGCTGACATGATGGATACCGCCATTAAAAATCCACTTCCTTACAGAAAAGTTGATGGAATAAATTTCATTGTCAAGCACATCGGTCAAATGATCAGACAGAATGACGGATTCATTGATTTCCATCTGTGACTATCCAAAATCATTTTAGAAGTAATATTTTCGGGAACTGTTCGATATCGCCGGGAAGAGATGCGATAATAAGCGGTGAATCTGATTTAACGTTTCCTCCCGCAAATAGAATATTCAACTTAAGTTTGGCAGTTATGTATTATTTAGGAGAGCCAAATAAGTATTGGAAGTCAATTCTGATAGTATTTTTCAAAATAAACTGGTAAATACGCATAAAATTCCATTTGCGTCAATCATATATCAAGTAAAGTTCAAACTTCAACCTGTAAAAAATTATCCTAAATTTATTATGTGACATATTTTGGCACAAAGTATAGATAACTCAATCTAATTAATTTTATTACAAATTTTTTAGGGATAGCCTTAAATTCAGAACCAAAGTAATTAAAATTGCGTTTATCAAAATCTGTGTTTCTAGACCGTGGTTCACTTTTAACTATACTAAATGTATTTTGAATAACTAATAAATTTCAAAATGAAAGTGATACAACATTTTTGGAGTGTCAATATTGCTTTGAACTAATTTCCGTCTTACTACCATTACACATTATAACTTCTGCTTGTTTATTACTAAATGTTTTTGTGTTTCCCGGGATTCGCTAATTTGCAGTTTAGAACAAATCATGTATGAGTTCACCGTAACAAATTACTAACGCAAACAACTATTACACATTGATGTATTAGAAAGCTTTCTCTCTCACACTGGTAATAATATGCACATAAACCTACACAAATCCACCACTTTTATTACCAAATAACTCGATTTTATTTTCCGATTGCCGCAACTTTAAGACACAGTAGTAAAATAAAATGAGTTTCACGCAGGCTACTAACTCGAATGGCCTTAGACGCACAATAAAAGTCATATTAATGTTTTGAAGTGTTGTGAAATTAAGAAATACGTTTATGACATGGGTAGGGTATTTTCAGAGGAAAGAGTTTTAGGCCACATTAAATGTTTTTGGCTCAACATGGGATGTTGCTTAATTATGCATTGTACTTAATAATAATTAATATACTACATAAGAAAGCAAAACTATTAATCCCCGTCGGGATATCTGAAAATAATTTACCCTTTAACTTTTCACTAATTTTTAATTCCAAATCAAAATTAATTCCTGAGTTTCAGTCATTTATTGTTTCTATTTATCAATTAAAATACGTTTCGGTGTATTTTTCCACCATCATCAGTTTTCATCAAAAAATTTAATTAATTTAAAAAACAATCCCAGTTCGTCAACAGCTTCATCATGTCACACACTAAAATACATCACAATTGCAACACTTTAAAACATTCTAAAATTAATTAGCCGTAACAGGTGATTAGTCAGGACAATAAAATTTGGAATTACTCAATAAGTTATATAAAAAATAAATGGGCAGAGATAAAAGAACATATAAAATTACCCGAAAAAGAATTTATTGAGGCGGTAGAATTGTGTTTAAAATCCACATATTTCCAGTACGAAAACAAGTTCTATTCACAGATATATGGGTTCTCCCATAGCAGCAACACTTGCAAATTTGGTAATGGAAAATTTGGAAGAATAAATAATATCTAAATTAGACTATAAGTGTGAATTTTTTAAACGATATGTAGATGACTGCATAATGTACCTCTCAAAAGATAAAATTCAATATACACTAGATAAGTTTAATGCCTTTCAGAAGATAAATGAAATTCTATAAACTTTCTAGACCTAACAATTAATTATGATAACAACGGGGAAATCAAAACAAATTGGTACACAAAGGAGGTATGGTCTGGTAGGT